CCACTTTTTTCAACTTTTTCCTCGTATCCAAGTTTTTTCTATGAACAAAAATTATAGAGTTTCGATTATTTCATATGGTACCAAATGTAGATTTGGATAAAATGTATTTCTGGCAGATATCGACTTGCTTGCATATATTTTGTTTTTTTCGTATAATGTTCACCTTTTCTTCAATGCAGAAACTTTATGTTTGTAACTGTCAGTGAAAATGAATTTTTAACACAGAAACAGAGTGCAGACTTTGGTCAGAGAATATATGAGAGTTTTGCTCTTCTAGAAAATATGAAACTTTACGTGTCTTCTACAATGTCCAGCAAGAACATTATCATTTCCCTCAAGATATGTATGATTGCGACACAAAGATTCAATAACCTTTATACAGAATATTTGAAGTCTTGCAGAAAACCTAAGGAATGCAAAATACCTATTCTGAGAATAGAATTTAGAGATTATTTATATTTAAGTATCAAATCCTTTCATTCCCTAAAAGAAGAATCAATGTAAAACTACAACCTCATACGATTTGCTAATTTCTCTTTCCTGAATAGCGGAAATTTCAAAATTTAGCCTTCAAGAGAGTTCTGTTTAGCAGCTCAGTCGAAGAATTTGAATGGAATCAGAAAATCCGTTCCCATTTTTTTAATTCAATATCAAGTACCCCATACGGTGATTTAAAGTATGCTGAATGTTTCCTCATTCTCCTATAGAGTTAGGTGTCACAGCTTTCTCGCATAGCCATTATTTAGAACAAAAAAAAAAAAAAAAAAACGAGGGTGCAGCTAAAGAAAAAATAAAGTAATTTTTTTTATAGTTCAAATATGGAATGAGGATCATAGTATCCTAAACACGGATGATTTTAACAATCAGTAATTTTTTTCGTTATAACTCGCTGAAATTCTGGAAAAAAATATGAAAAGTACCCCCCCCCCAAAAAAAAAGTCGGAGATATCGCGTAAAGTTTATATTTTCATATTATAGAAGTTCTCTATAATAGTATAAAATAGCATTAAATTTAGAGAGAAACTGGACACGACAAAATTTTCGCTCATTATAAGCGAGGCTTGTTTCAGTGGAGTTCGACTGTAGTTGTTTTACTAATTGAATATTGATAATCTAATTTAAACTTCCTTTTTCACTTTTCTCCATATTGTGTTTATATATTCATCTTTAAAGCTTATTTCTCGAGGATATTTTCTCTTTTTTTTTTTTTTTTTTTGTAAAGAAAGAGATATTCATTCTATTATCACTGTCTGTTTAGTTTCATATGACAAAGCATATGAGTAAACTAATCTGGTTATTATTTGCGCTACACAGCTGGTTAGTATAAAATAAACTGGCTAGTATTTGCGCTACACATGGGAAAAAGCATGAAAATACCTATGCAGCCAACTCATTCTTCGAGATTCCATGCTAAGTAAATCACTGTATTAAGCATGTAGCTTTATGTATAGTTAAAACTTTTGGCAATAAGGCTTTGTTTACTTTTCCTGTTCCTTTGCAATATTACATTCCACGCATAAAATTGTAAACAGGGTTACTTAAAGACACAAACAGTACAAAGTCCGTAATCCGGACTCGTCGGGATTTCGGCGATTCCGGATTAGGGGTTTTTTCCGGATTATAGATCATTAGTTTAAATCTGGTAGGATGACATGCAGAAATTATAAAATTAAAAATATGAAACCGTAATTTATGAAATAAAGAGCAATTATGATCTAAAGGGGTATCAAAATTTACCCCCCCCAAAAAAAACCTTAATATTGATTTGTTTACGTTAGTAAACATTTCTATCAATGTAAGTTATTTAAGTTGCTTCGCTTTTTGTGCTTCTATAAACAGACATAATTTCTTGTTCAGTTACAAAGTTCCACTGTTCAAGTCCTGTAATTGCTGTGTCGAGAATATCGACTAACTTGTCAATCGAAATTTTTTCGTTTTCAATAACGTTCTCTGTTACTTTCTTCACTATCGGAAGCGCGCATAGGTAAACGCTTTACTAGCTCTACGCGCATGCGTAGCGGACGCGCGCATCAAAGGCGCATGCGTAAGTTTGTGGCTTTGAGGTCCGGATTGTAGATCATTCCGGATAATGGACGTCTGAATTAGAGACTTTTCAATCCATTGCAATGATTTAGTTCAATCCATTGCAGATTGATTATTATTGATTATCATTATTGATTTAGACTTAGTTTCAATCCATTGCAATGATTTATTATTTGATGTCTTAAAATAAATTTGAAGGATTTATATAAAGCAATAATAACGAACTGGATATCATATGAAATACCTGATAATGAGCTTACTGTCTCACTTGAATAGTAAGTCATTAATAATGAATTAAGTTCTTTATTTGGTTTAATTAACTGACTAAGGAAAAGCATGTGAATTTGCAAGTATTCAAAGAATGCAGTGCCCTTTTTGTTGTTTTAAATACGATATATCAAAAGATGCTTCTTTATACGTTTCAGAATTGAAAGTTAGGAATCATAATTAATTTTTCTAATGTATTCTAAAATTTCGTAGCTAATCTCCCTCCTAACCACTTGTTTGAGGCAATGGTCCCACTTGCCTCACCCTTATCCCGGCCCTGGTAAATGGTATGGGGTAACATAATAATGTGATGTTTTGCTTAGTAGCAATTTTGGCTAAGACACAAGGATGATAAATCATGGAATTGAGTTGTTCAAAAAGTAATTCTGCTTTTTCCCAACAGAGGGCTTAATTGTATTTTTTCATAGCCAACTTCGCATTTAAGTTCCGTAATCGTTACATATTTTGACAGCTGATATAGCAAGGCTTGTTTGTGAAAAAGTTCGATGGATTTTATGCAGTTCTTTTTGGCTGGTGCTCTTTCAAATATGGAAAGCAAAAAGCAGCATTTTCGGCATATTTTACTTTTTTACTATTGAAAAGGTAAAAATGCTGTTCAAGTAAGAAAAAAAACTATCTGACGTGTATACAGAAGATGTATTGACAGAACGCCAGTGCCAAAACTGGTTTGCAAAATTTCGATCCGGCGAATTTGATCTTGCAGATGCACCACGCTCTGGAAGGTCAGTTATTCAGCAAATACTTTTATTGGTTGGCAAAATTATGTGTTATTTTAAATTTTTTAAAAAAGTGATTTTTTCCCTAATATTTTTAGATTGTTTTAAAACTTTTAATGGGAAACTGTTCTTTAAAATTTTAGACAATAATCTTATGTTTTCATAATGTAATTTTTTATATATGCTTGTGTATGTTTTTCTAATATTATATACCAGGTGTAGCCAAGCTTCCTGTAAGCCGTATGTTGGATTTCAGGAAAGTTCGAAAGCCAAAACTAGATTTTCTTAAAAAAACATTAAAAAAAAAAAAAAAGTCCATATTTACGTCATTTTACGTCAAAGAAGTGAAACAGGTTTCAGATGAAAAGAAACGTCTGATAATTTCGTAAAAAGAAATGAAATAAATGAGTTACTCTCTTTTGGACATTGAGTATTTTTAGTGTACTAAATTTCATACATATATTTCATTTGCCTAGGGACAGCATCACTCCTGCGAAAGCCGTGCTATGGCCACCCCTGTTATTTACTATGAAACTACCATGTGCCAAAAATGTGTTTTATTTCACAATTTTAAGAAAATCATTGACAAAAGATTAATAACGTACGAAGGTTGCTATTTGTATTTCTGGCCTAGGCAACATTAAGTGTTGCTAGGCGATCGCAGAAGATTCTGACCGAAAGTTTGTTATTTTTAGCCATAACGTCTTCAGAACGTTTAGTCATTTTAGCGTGATTTGTGTTGTTTACAGTAAATTGAAAAGTTTATCTCGGGCAAAAAATAGAATTAACTCGCAAACATTTTCGTGCGATTATTTTTTATAACTTTCGACCGGGATTATCAAAACAAGAGTGCTTCGATGAACTTAATTCTTTATACAATGATAAAGCACTATCCTACAGCACTGTAAAAAAACTGGTATAACGAATTCACTTGTGGTCGACGTTTGCTCCATGACGAATTCTGTGAAGGTCTCTAAAACCGGTTGTTGTGCCAGAAAATGTCGATGCTGTGCTGATAAAGCAAAATCGTCACGTGACATACCGTGAGACTGAGGCATCTTTGGACATAAGTATGACAAGCATTAATAAGATATTACATGAATATTTGGCCGTAACAAACATTTGTTCGCAATGGATCCCGCATAATCTGACAAATGCTCAAAAGAAGGCTCGTGTCGATTAGTTCAAGGAAATGTTGGAATAATAAGTTCAAGTTGCACTAAAGGCTGTGTATAACACCTACACAGGTGACGAATCATGGATCTATGCATATGAGTCCGAAACAAAACAGTAGTCAACTGTATGGGTCTTCCAAGTTGAGCCAAATCCAACAAAAGTTGTTCGGGGAAGAAGCGCATCGAAGCGAATGGTTGCCTGTTTCTTCGGCATTTACCAGTCACGTGGCGACAGTGGCGTTACAGCAAGGCAGGACGGTCAATACCAAATGACGAATACACGACTATTTGTTTGCTAGAAATCTTCGGAGAAATTCGAAAAAAGCAGAAGAGGAGGTGAATCATTCTTCATCATAACAAAACGAGCTCTCACACGTCGGCTCAAACGAAGGAATTTTTGACGGAACAAAACATCGAATTGATAGGTCATCCGCCATACAGCTCTGATTTGGCACCCAATGACCATTTTTATTCCAGCACACCAAAAATAAAGTACGTGGTCAGCGATTTGCGATACCCGAAGGAGTGGCTGATGTATTCAAAACGCATGTTTAGGATTTACCTTAATCGAAGAAGAAAAAGTGCTTTGAAAATTGGTTCAAACGCATGCAAAATTGTATTGATCTTTATGGATAATATTTTGAAAAACATTAAAACCAATTTCGATCATAAACATTTGTTTTTTTAATTATTATTAGGCCAGAACTATAAATACAATCCTCGTATCGAAATTTTTATTAATTATATTTGTTATAATGCTCAGTTCTTTTTATTTTAGATGTTGCAAGCACCAAGAACCATTTTCGATGACTTATTCGAAATAAATGAAGAGAAAGAAATAGCAGAAGAATCCTTCCAAGAAGAATTGGAAGAGGAATCTTCAACGAACGAGGATGATGAAGACGAGAATGAGAATTCTGGACTCCCTATCTATCTCATGAGCGAATATTTAGATCTTCTACCGAGCGAACAATTCGTATTATACAAAATATTTGTGGCAAACTTAGATAGAAATCTTTCTACTCTAACATTAGACGATTATGTGGGATAAACGTGCGTCAGAAATGTAGCAGACTATTTTGGAATTGCACGAAATGCACAGTTACAGATAAATTATTTTCATTTCAAAATGTTATTTATGGTCATATGTTGTATAAATGAGTTATATTTAAAGTTATCTCATTATTATATGTAAATACATTGACAAATATATAAACAAGATTAGTTAAAAGCAAAATTATTTTATAATCAAATGACATAAAAATGAAATACCTATAAATAAACTAAATACATGCCTTCTAAAATAACATTTTGCTGTAAATAAAAATAAAATATTAACCTGTTAATCTGATATCAACATCACATGCACAGGAAAATGTTATAGAGATACAGAGGGTGTTTGCATATTTTTAGAACGATTTCGGGGCCCTTTAATTAATGTTTAAATGTAAAGATAATTTTTTAAAATGTTCGATCTGATAGATCTTTTTACTGGATTATAAGTCTGCATCGTGATTTCCATGGCATAAATGCTGGTTCTAGTGTAGAATTTATGTAGAATTCCATGGCATAAATGCTGGTTCTAGTATAGAATTTTAGTTTACCTCTTCGATTGGCGGCACATTTTGTTCCATTTTGGCGATGAAACATCATTTCTGGTTACCATAATAGTTTTAACTTGGTTTTAGCTTCCTTATTTTTTTTTTTTTTTTTAGTGAAAATAGATCGATGTGCACGTGGGCAAAGTCAAGGCAGTGCGCAATGCCGAGATTGGGTAATTTTCTAATGTTTTATTAAGTGAAAATAGATCGATGTGTACATGTACGATAGTTTGTGCAATTCTTTAACTTCTTATTTTGGCTTTGTGTAGCGGCCATCTTGAAATTGTGCCTTCCTGGCTCCGATCTTGGCGTCAAAAAAGAATCGCGAAAAAAACTTTACCGAAGGGTTTAACTAAACTTTACCGAAGGGTTTAACTTAAACTTTACCGCCCTTTTACCGAAGGGCTTTTCGTAAAATTTTTAGCGGTTTTGATTTCCAGTCTTCTTCCACTATTTTCTAGAGTACATCAATCGCGGTGGGTTTGCGGTTAGAGTTCTCTTCAAGAAACCAAAGGCACAGTAGTCCATAGATGAAACGTCAGGTGACTACGGAGGTATACATTGAAAATGTGTATATGCTATATCTGCATCAGTCTTTATTTTTCAAGGAATGCAGTGGTACTTTTCGAAATACGACTTGTTGCTTTGTCTTAAATAAGAGTAAAAATATTCAGTACTCTATAATTATCCGCTAACCTTCATGAAATGCCAACAACTCATTGACGATCTGAGTCGTAATGGTAGCGTTTGTTTGGCTGCCATTACGACTCATAGGTACCGTTACGTTCATCAAAAAGAGCATTGTATAAAAACCTTTTTTATTTGTATGTCAGCTATATAAATTTTTGTAAATTTGGAAATTTTATGAGAGTAAACAGGTCTGTATGGCCGATATTTTATAGGCGAAATATACTTTTCAGTTATGGCCTTCAAAATTCGTTCAAAAAAGTCTTTTTTTTTTTTTCTTTCCCCCTCTTTGCTGAGTTTTTCGCCAAATAAATTCAGAGATGTGCTTAATCAGAGATCAGATAAAATCAGAAAATGCCAAATATTCTGTATTCTTCTGCATGAAATAGGATACTTAATTATTCTAATTAGACAAGAGTGAAATAAATTCCGTTGTCCACATCCAAAGTAAAATTAAATGGTTATGATGATGTTTTGAAATAACATGCAGGTTATAAATTTCTTTATATATATTTTTTCTTTTAACTTCGTTCAAACAGTAATATATATACTCATTTTGATTTTTTTTTCTGTTTCTGTCTTTTTACATTAAAAAAAGAAAGCACGATTTGGATTTAAGAACAAAAGTGAAATATTTATATAATGTATGCTTTTTTTATATATACATATTTTTTTATTTGTAAAAATCTTTTACTGTGACTCACCTTTGATGTGCTAGATTAATCAGAAATTTTAAATCACAAGTTAATTTTTTAAACTATGATCATACAGTTTTCTGAGTATGGAATTGATACTACAATATTTTTGACCTTGAAGGTGATCATCCAATAGCAAAATTTCCTATTTTGGCCATTTATCTTAGATATACATTTCTCCTTTTTATGAAATTGTGATTTCCTCTTAAAAGGGGTACACATGTTTTCTACTTAATACTACGCATATCTTTTTATGCGTGTATGTTAAATTTTGTTACTACTTAAGACATTTATTGCTGATGAGATTTCGTTTCACATGCCATTCAGTATCATCTATGTAAGCACATGATTCAATTATTTTTCAATATTTTACTTTGAAAAACATAAGAAAATGGATAACGAGCAAAGACATAGGCACATATAATTATCTTATACATGGTTAAAATATTGTTGCGTGCGTACGGGTTCGTAACAGATTTGATGCAAAAATCCGATAAAAAGTTAATATCATTTATTCTTATCACAAGAAATTTAACAAATTGCTGGAATTTTCCCCAGAGATATTCTTACAAGTGTTCACAATATCAGGCACTAATCAGAACGCAAATACTTAAACAGAACGCAATACAACCAGTAGCTATACTTTAAATTAGTAAAAACGTTAAAATACAACGCAGTTCAAAGAGAAAGAGAAAGCCAAGAAAATCCAATTAATTAAGCAACTGAACTGAATTTTTTTTTTCTTTGATCGTATTTTTATTTCTGGCCTCAACCACCAAGGGTTTTTACCAGTATCATGAAAATTACAACCATTATACATTTGCTAGGTTTAAAATTAATAAAGATGTACATTAGTACATCAGCACACAGGGGCGAAAGTCAAACAAAATGAAAGTTTCATGAGATTGTAAAGTCTGTACTAAGGATGTTCTGCTGCGTCTTGCGCTATGCTGGCTTGAAGGTCAGTCAGAGGAGAGTCATATGATCTTGAGAAGGCACCTGGTTAGATGAGCTTCGAAATAAGCAAAGTTCGTTAAAAGTTCTTAATTAAGCTAGAAAATTGCTTAATTTGATATAAATTTTTGTATTTTGCTTTAAAACGTAGTCCATAGGAAAAATACCTTATGGATATCAATGCAGTGCAGTTAGAGCTCGAAAACATAAAATCATAAAATTGTTGTGTAGAGAAACTAAGTCCTAAAAGCGGGTAAAATCTTAAGTAAATAAAACTATTTACAGACTACAAGTTGAAGAATGATATATGTATAGAATGAGGATGAGTTGAAATAATAAGTTGCAGTTGTGAAATTGTAGTAAATTAAACTAGAATTCCAAGTCAATATTCATAAAATAATCGAAAGCGGCTATGCCTACTTCGATTTTACTCATTGATTTCGCAGTTCGGAATTTTTGAAGGAATTCTTTTGCTTTATTAATGTGTACTATAATCCATGAAAAGATCGAAATTTCCTTTTCATTTTCAGTATTTGGATTATTTTTGGTCCAAGCTGATTTATTTGTATTATTTGGTAGCGTGGGGAAGTCAGCGGCTTTAAGTTGGAATTTATTGCTTGCTTCTGCTTCTTTTTTGGCTTTCGCTGCAGCGATAGCCTTTTTGTATATATCCTTTGGGTGTTTAACACAACCCTTATAAATCGAAACGTGATTTTTTTTTCCACAAAAGGCACAGCAAGCAGGTTTATTATCCTCTTTCTTTTGGGTACAGGTATAAGTTTCATGAGGTTTAGCGCATTTCATGCACCTAACTGAATAATCACATAGCTCCCATGTATGCCCATATTTTTTACATTTGTGGCATTGCACGGGGCTTTTTCTGGATTTATATGGGGTGATAAAGATATCTAATTCTCTCAGTTTCGTTATGTCATAAACTTTTTTGCCTTCAAGATCTCGCTTGCATTCAACTTGAAAAAACGGTAATTTAAGAATATTTCCATCTCTTACAATAGTAAGCCTGAACTGAAATGTTCTCTCTCTGGCTTTTTATAGCTTTTAATGGGTCACGAGAAATTTCTGGTAATTTCTTTGCTTCTCGAGATTTCTGGAAACCAACAAGAGGAATTACGGTTACAGTTAACATGATAGTCAATTACATTTATTCAATTTCAATACAAATAAAAGAGATATCCGATTACTCAATGTTAAATGCATATGCTCTTACATTATTCCTTTCTCGGCGTAGCTTTCTCTTAAAACACGTCTCACGCTGCATTGCACGGGGAAATAAAACAATTTTAAATATAATTCTACTAAAATTATGTAACTAAATACAAAATTTGTAACACTGCCCCCTTCCTAAAGACTGCAAATCCCGGGCTGTACAATCCCTGGACAGGAAGGCATACTTACAACTAAAGCATCAATGCAATAATAAACATTATAATACAATAACAAACAACATAAACAATAATTGCAATAAATAACTTAAAATAAATCAAATACAACGCAATAAATGAGTGCATAAATTTACAAATTTGGAAAAAAAGGACCATGGTCTTATACTATTTACATTATATACACTACGTACTATGTTATTATTCAGCTACGTACGTACTATGTCCATAGTAAGGAGCTAGCCTGTCGAAATGAACGACTTTAGGCTTACAATTTGATGACTTACGGATCCAAACTACGACGTCGTTCAGCCTGTTTAAGACTCCGTAAGGACATTCCAAGGTGACTTTAACGCCACCGTGAGAGCTCCCGACCTAAGGGTTTAAACCGAACGGGATTGTAGCTCCCACAGCGGAAAAAGATGTACTAGTCTAGCTGCCACCACAGCCTGAGGAGGGGGGGGGGGTGCCCAACAGACCAACGACATTTTTTTAAAATCATAATAAAAAAAAGTTTGCAGATACAATGCAAGATTGAGTTTAGACGAACTCTGCACTATATGCAGCGTATACATTCTTATTGAAATGGGTTGATGCAATTATAAAATCAATGGCAGTTAAAACATGATCACTGGATTAACATAAGCTAAAAATAAAACATTATTAGAGAAATACGTACAAAACTTAACTAAGAATAACTTGCATCGCTATATACCTGTAACATTAGAGACACTTTTATATTATACAAGTTCCAATACTATTCTTTTAAAAATGCGGTAACCTCTAACTTTGGAATACTTCCAAAGGGTGTAGAGACATTTGGCATTTTTGGAAGCAGACAGGATGAAAAATTAGCAACCGCCTTCGCCGGGAATCGAACCACGGATCTCTGGAATACCGGCCCAGCGTGCAGAACCACTACACCACGAAGGCACGCTAGGAAAGTTTTGAGAAATACCTTATACAGGGTGTGATTCAAACGTTTCAAGACTTACCTCAGAACTAGAAATTTATTGGACATTTAAGTACAGCGGACTAAAATTATTCAAAATATGATCCTTCAGCATCAACACAGCGCTGCCAGCGCGTCTTCCACTGTTCGCAGCCCTTCTGGAAGGCCTCGGGCGTCATGCTGTCAAGCGCTCTCGTCGAAGCCTGCTGGATGGCGTTGATGGAGTCGAATCGCTTCCCTTTTAGGCCTGTCTTGATTCGGGGGAAAAGTCACTTGGAGCCAAGTGGGGAATGTAGGCTGGCTGCGGCAGTGTTGTCACGTTGAACTTGACCAAAACTTCGGCGGCGGCGCGCGACGTGTGAGCGGGCGCGTTGTCTTGGTGGAGCATACAGTCGCCCATGATCGCCGGGCAGACTCGATCCCTTAAGCGGCGGAGCACTCCAGCGTAAAAGTCACCTGTGACAGTCTGTCCACGAGCATTAAACTCCTTGTGAATCACTCCTTTACCATAAAAAAAACAATCAGCATGCACTTCACACGCGACTTGCTCATGCGAGCTTTCTTGGGCTTCGGCGAGGAAGCAGTGTGCCATTCTGAGCTTTGACGCTTCGACTCAGAATCGTACTCGTAGACCCAGGTCTCATCACCAGTAACCACTTTCTCCAGAAGGTTCGGATCAACATTAAACCGTTGGAGCATTTCCTGGCAAACAGCCATGCGCCGTTTCTTCTGATCCACCGACAAATCTTTTGGCACACACTTTTCGCATCATCAAATCTCCGTCACAATCCTCCACACAGTACTCTGACTGAGTCCCGGTTCATCGGCAATTAATCTAGTACTAAGACGACAGTCATTGTTTAAAAGTTCTCGCACTCTCTCCCCATTTTGATCCGTTCGGCTTAATGATGGCCTCCCAGAGCGGTCGTCGTCTTCAACATTCTCGCGGCCATCTTTGAAACGTTTGTGCCACATGAAAACCATTGGACATGGCTTCTTCCTTAAAGGCTCTTGAATCATACCGAGAGTCTCCGTGGCGGTTTTGGTCAGTCGCACGCAAAACTTAATTGCATAACGTTGCTCAAAGTGCTGCTCCATTTTCGACTCTCCCACTTTTCGACCGAGGTCAATGACACGCACTCACGCTGCAAGTGATGCACACTGTCCAGGGTTCCGGAGGTAACTGCCGCAGCGTCAGTTCGTTTCCTGAGACCCCCCCCACTACTTCCCCCAACCGGCGGAACCGGTCCGCGCGTGCTTCTCTACTCAGAAATGAACCAGTCTTGAAACTTTTGACTCACACCCTCTATACTCCCCATTTTAAAGGGCGACTAGGGTTTTAGGGGACATAGTCCCCAAATCCTGGGTGTGGAGAATCATCATTCCGACCCTTTCAGTTCGGGCGTCGCTGTAGAGACATTAGGATTTTTTGGAAGCAGGCAAGAAGAAAAATTAGCACTGCCTTCGCCGGGAATCGAACCACGGACCTCTGAAATACCGGCTCAGTGTGCTAACCACCACACCACGAAGGCACGCTAGAAAGGTGGGAGAAATACCTTATATACTTCCCTTTTAAAGGAAGACTGGGGTTTTTAGGGGACTCAATCGCCAAATCCTGGGTGTGGAGAATCCTCATCCAACACCCTTTTAGTTCGGGCGCCAGTATAGAGACAGGTATTTTTGAAAAGCAGGCAAGATGAGAAATTAGCAACTGCCTTCGCCGGGAATCGAACCCCGGACCTCTGGAATACCGACCCAGCGTGCAGAACCAATACACCACGAAGACACGCTAAGAAAGCGGGAGAAATACCTTATAAGAGTAATACCGAACAATAGATAGGCGTTACAGGAAACCATCCAAATAGTAAATCACATACTAAACAAAACATTTTACAGTACAATTTATAATATGGATAAATTACACAATTCATAACCTTTAACTAATTGATATGTCCCATGCATTACAATTATAGTAATCCTAAATTATTCTGTTTATAGCCATGTACCAAATTATTTGCTATGTATTATACAAAACAAATTAGAATGTGCTGCGCATTGGCTTACGGTACAAGAAAGAATATTCCTTGCTATAGTTTACCGTGTTATACAGTACCATTCAGCATACTTGTCATGTTTGTTATATTAAGAATATGTAAATGTAACATTACAATTTCAATAACCAGACTGCCACTACTACATTTCGATTTGAGGTTAGATAATTCCAGTTGGTGCAAGCAATTTACAGTGAACTTATTGTTCAGTTGTATAATGCAGTTCAGGCAAGTTTCACCAGAGTTGCTGACATAATTTAGATGCTATTTAGCGTTCAGTTGGGAAAATGAAGCGACTATTGCAAATATTGCAAATACTTATGATTTGTGAGAGTTTGTTGATGGCAATATTGCTTTTTAAAAATTGTAAAGTCCAATGTTGCCAATAAGCATCAGAAGGTTTTTTTAAGGTGAAATTGCCGAGTGAATTCACATTCATAAGCATAACGATCAACTGAGCCCAGTTCCCCACAATCACATCTATCATGATCACGAAGATTGAATCTAGCTAAGTATTGGGGGAAAGGGCCATGATCAAATAAGAACGTTGTTAGTGCAGAATTAAAAGGTCGCGCTGAAGTAGATACTTTTGGAACTAATCGAAAAGTTCGACGTCCTGTCGCAGCAGAATCCCAACAGCTTTGCAATTCTGCATTAGAATCTGAAAAGATTGGTTTTTGAAAAATGAGACTGGACAAGAAAGTTGGAATTCCGGCAAGTAAATACCCCGTGACGCTTCCTTGGCCATTTGATCAGCGAGTTCATTTCCTACAATCCCACTGTGACCCGGCACCCAGCTGATAAAAGGTCTTTTATTTGAAGGAAGAGAGAGGATAATTCGCTGTATGTCGAAGGACCAGTGGACTGTTTGATTTATCATTTCGTAAGCTGTACAGTGAATCCGTACAAATCAGTTTAGGACAGAATTATTTCCATCAAATCAGATTCAACAACCACACCTTATCTCCTTCGTTGAATCGATGTCCTGTAGCACTCGTGTCGTATCGGATCTCCATTTTCTCTGTGGTCAAGTTGATTCGCTCTCGTGCAAAATTGTGCATCACTTCAAACCGGACCTAGAGATCCTGGATGTACTCCTCAGGCGATAAAGGCGCATCCGGAGGGCGACCAAACAACAGCTCACAAGGACGTAGATCACAACCGAAGAGCATCTGAAATGGGAAATAGCCCGCACTGCAGTAAGCCAGTAGAAACAGTGATAATTTCTTGTCCCAGTCCTGCTGGTTTCTGGAAATCACTAATGAGAGGTTACTAAGAATGGTTCGATTGAACCTCTCTACCATGCCGTCCGACTGGGGATGTAATGGAGTCGTTTGGGTTTTGTCAATGCCGAGTAGCTTGCAGAGTTCTTTGATTACTGCTGAGGTAAAATTCCTTCCCTGATCGGAATTTAACTGAAGAGGCACTCCGAACCTGGAAATCCATTGCTGTATCATCACCTCAGCTACTGTGACAGTCTCTTGATCAGGAATAGGATACGCCTCAGGCCACTTGGTGAAGTAATCAATGAAAACGAGCATGTATTTGTTGCCATCAGCAGTTCGTGGCAGAGGTCCCAAGATGTCAAAGGCGATACGTTCAAAAGGCGCTCCTACGTTGTACCGTTGCAGCTTGCCTTGGCTGCGTTTCTTCGGTTCTTTCCGACTTGCACAGGCATCGCAAGATCTACACCACTTTTGCACGTCGTCCTTTGCATTACTCCAGTAGAAGCGCTCTCGAATTTTCTGCAAGGTCTTCATTATTCCGAAGTGGTCTCCTGTAGGGCTTCTATGTAATTCTTTAAGGACGTCCGGGATCCAGGATCTTGGGAGTATCATCTGCCATCGAAATGTCTTTCCATCATCCGATTCGAATTTGCGGTATAAGACGCCGTTTTGAATATAGAGTGAGTCCCAGAGTGCCCAATATTGTTTTGTGGTAGGACTTTGTGGTAGATCGAAATGTCCTGCCAAGTTAGTTTTCTGTTTGAACACTTCATTAAATCAATTATGGGTTTAATGTCGCCGTCTCCCAGCTGGTCTTTCCTCACTTCTTTGTCACCCCATGGGTCTCGATCAGTAGATATTGATGTTGTAGTTTGTCGTGCGACCGGATTAAGCAGCTCATATTTCGCTTCGATCCTGGAACAATACCGGCAGCTTCCTGGGCGAGGTCGCTTAGACAAAACGTTGGCGTTTCCATGTGAGGATCCCTTTCTATGATGGATAGTGATGTCATAATCCTGGAGTCTCTGAATCCACCTGGCTATTTGACCTTCAGGATTCTTGAAATTTAAAAGGCAGGCCAATGAGACATGATCCGTGCGCAGCAGGAATTTTCTGTCGTAGAGACAGGGATGAAAATGTTCTACGGCTTTAACTATGGGGAGCATCTCTTTCCTGGTAGCACAGTAGTTCCTCTCCGGTTTAGACAAGCACTTGCTCCAGTAAGCCACGACGTTCTTGGCCGTATCACCTACCAGGCTCTATGTGGGGAAAATCATCAGACAATTGGGATACTCTGTCTTTGCAGCTGAATGCTAGTGGAACAACTAAATACCCGAGTTTCTCTTGTTTCCTAAGAGTAGTACAACGCTGGAATACCTTGTTACGGTAACCTACCTTCATCGAGAAATATCGAGTATATCACTCGAATTTGGCGAGATACTGTGAATAGTATCGATGAGATGAGAATGGAGTTGCAGAATAATCAGAATTAGACATTACATTATGAACTAAAGGCATTAAAGTTCCGCGAACCAAATAACAAAAACTGACGAGATGATAACAAAGCGTACGAACAGCATATGTTATAACAACAATAAAGGCAATGCGACAGATATTAAAGCATGTTATTTAAATAATACGCAAAAACATCACTAAATACAAAACTTAACATAAAACCCACTCTCTTAGGCAATAATATTAGCCACAGCTCATCGTGATGCAACTAAATAAAAGAGACAAATTTAAGTTAAGCATGGAACAGCAGTCAAGGATTGCACAATTAAATAATATAAGCTTTAGCAACTCTGCCGGAGCGTAACTGGCTCAGTAATAGCTATCAGAGCTGGCAGGAAACTAACAAGTAGCGTGCACACGAAGCCAGAAATACGCTCTTTCTTAAAATCCAGAAATCTGTGTTTAAATACTGGCTACCTCATTTGCATTCTGGTGAGAAATACAAAAAGGAGAAGTTATAGTAAAGGCCGAAATCATAAAAATGGGTAATTTAAATAATAACCCTACAAAGTTGCTAAAGGTATCATAAAAAATAATGAATACAATAAAAATCTTGTCTATGGGTTCTTGTGCATTTCTAATTTTGTTTCCGTCCTACAAAAGTTCTAAAATATGAAGTACAGAAAATTATGAAAATATGGAAATAACTTCTTTAATTATTTTAAATACGTCATTGCAGGCACAGAAGATTTTTTTTTAAGAGTGTTTTTTTTTTAATACATCTACACTCCTCAAAAATGAAATTGCAATACAAAGAAAGAATGTGCTTAGCGTCATACAAATTGCAGGAGCGAGAGTTGTGAGGTGGATATGCAAATGATAAAAGTTGCGCACGCATTGGATCACGTGGTACGCATATGCGGGCTAAAGGGCAGCCACTTTCCCTTCTCATAAACAGCATCTGAGGGTTTACGAAGCATTGGAGATTTTAGAAGAAGTATAGCAAATACCTCTGAGACGTCGGCGAGCTTAATCGGTTCAATACCATCAATTAACGACAGGGGAACGTGACCGTACTATCGAACAACATGAACTTGGTTTGTCGCTGCGCACAATAGCCACTCGTGTTGGACGCAACGTGAATACCATCCAACGTTGTGTCACACAATGGATTCCAGGAAGGTGTACGTGCTCGTCAAAGAGGAAGTGATGCGCACAAGTGCACGTCAAAGCGCACAGACCGGCGTATTCAGCGGTCAACTAGAGGAGACCCTTTCTCTACGTCACGTGACATCCGAAGCCGATTGACTCCAGGAGCAGGTGGATCTGTGTCCACCCAAACTATACGCAACAGATTGCATGAAGT